TCATTTTTGAACTCTTATTTATTGAAATAAACACACATAAGAATATGACTCTAATGCTATCTCTTTATCTTAGTTTTATCATGGTGCTTAACATTTTCTGAAAAAAATATATTTTTTCCTTTTTATAGACGTTGTCAGTCAGTCAGCTACAACGTAGGATCAGGCACATATATGCATCGGTCCAAGTTGCCATACCTGATTAGCACAGCAAGATGAACACCGGATTCACAGAAGTAGTCAACTCAATGGTAGTAATGTATTGAAAAAGATTGCGTATAGGGATATATTACAGGAAGAAAGAATTAGTTGGTATGAAGTAATTTTAATCTCACAGTTTGAGGGAGGATAAAGAGTGTATACACCTACACCATTGTGGTCGATTCTGAGCCATGTCACTCAGAGTCTTCAACCATTGATTACGATAGTCACGTGGACCCCAACCAAGTAGTCTGCATCTACCAACATGACTAAGACTAGAAGTTAGTGATTCCAAGGACTGATGACACGTTTTGGTTTGGCCACCTCTAAGTTTCTTCCAACCATCCCCAACACTAGTCAGCATTGCGCGTCGTGGTAATTGTGTTCAGGCATACGTAACATGTGGCCCAACTATCTCAGTCGATGAAGATTCACAACCTCAACAACTCATTTACAATCATCTGCGTATTCTAAGTCGACCTCCTGGAAGAGCCAAATGCTGCTTTTAAGTCAAGAAAAACTATCATTGTTGGACGCCGATAGCCATGCCTGTGTTCTAAAATTTGACGAATGGTGAATATGTGGTCGATACAGCCACGATCAGGTCTGAAGTCAGCCTGATTTCCTCGTGTTTGCAGTTCACGAGTCTGATAATTATTGAGGCTTATATTTTAGACACTATACTAGTCAAACTAATCCCCCCATTGTTACCATGGGATGATTTTAAGCCCTTCTTATACATTGGGACAATCAGTGGTTGTGACCAGTCAGATGGGACTACGTCCAACTCCCAGATTTGAGCCTAAATATTAGTCAAACTAATTGTTGAAATTGGACCACCATACTTAAAGACCTCTGAAGCCAATCCATCTGGACCAGCTGCTCTCCATCGTTTCAGATTAGCTATAGCTTTTTGAAATTCAACTAGAATGGGGGCGCCTACTTCAATGTTCAATTAAGGCTATTTGGGAATGGTGGCTAGTGGTAGAATACCTGAAGGCCAGCTGAACTGCTCCTCAAAGTGTTCCGCCCATCGTTCTACATGTCTGGGCTGAGAGCAGATAAGAGTGTCGTCTTTTTCCGAGATAGTTTCACTTACACTTGAATTCTTAATTCCATTTTCCTTTATTAGTCTGAAAACCTGTCTGGTTTTACCTACAACCGTTTTTTTCCATCTCTATTGCTTTCGTTGCCCACCACTATTCACGGTCATTCCTTAGGCTTTTGGTTAACCTAGATCCGACTTGTTTTCGCTCTTTATTGTGTTCATACCCTGATTAAATGAGTTTACGAGAATCCATCAGTGCAATAGACTTAGTAGAAATCCATTGCTTTTTCGTGACCCTTTGATTTGAATCACTAATAGATGTGTCTGCTGTTTCCACAGCTGTTCGTACATCTTTCCAAGCAACATCTGGGCCAGCCTTGTTCTCAGAACTACCTAAGTGTGACTTCAGTTGTTTCTGGAATCTACTTTTGGCTTTCTCGTCACAGAATTAAACTCTATTGGGTCTTTTTAATGTGATTTTTCCGCATCCAGTGAGGCGCAAGCAAATGCGTGCTCGTACTAAAGCAATATCAGAATCTAAACATGTACTCCAGAACGAGCGGCAGTCTTCTATCGAACTATATGGTCTAGTTGAGTCCATCGTTGGTTTGATGCTGGTGGTCGCCATGTAAGCCGATGTCTCTCCTCATGCTGAAAATTAGTACTCGCTAAAAATAAGCTATCGCCTGAGAACAGTTGCAGCAGACGATCATCATTATCTGTTCGTTGAGCCGGAATATTAAAATACCCACCTAAATGTCTTTTTGTTTCGTTTATGCTACCTACCTGGGCATTAAAGTAATCTGCTACGAGTACTACGTCTGAGCGTTTAGCTTTGTGAACAAGTTCAGAAGGCTTCCTGTAAAACTCATCATTCAATTCATCCGGGCCGCAGTCAGTGAGCGCTTAGGCAGAAACGACGAAAAGGCAACGACGTCTGTCTCTATCCTTCCGAGTTCTTACGGAGCCTTTTAGCCAAACAACACATTGGGGACTGTAGGCGGGGATCCATTCTAATTGTTCTTGTTCTGTGCTCGTACTTAGCGCTACGCATACACCTACCAGTCCATGAGAACCAGCCATCGAGTCGCCAGATACACGGAGAGTGTATCTTGTTGGCTCTCCGTTTTGATGAGGTGAGGTCAAGTGAATGACCACACTGGGATCCTGTATGTGTGTTTCGGAGACACAGCATACATCAATAGTACTAGATTCTAGGGTTTTAGCTAGGGAGGCCTGCTGACTGATTTGACACAGGGCGCGTCTGTTGAAGGCTCCAATCTGTAGTTTGGAGAGAGGTTTCAGTGGACTTTGGAGAGTGTTTCGCGCACTAGAATCATTGGCCATGGTGACACTTGAGGAGGAAGTCAAAAGAGGAAGTCGATGTAGGAGGAATAATAGGAACTGAACAGGGGGAATGAATATGAATACAGTGATCTTGAGTGCTGTTTGAAGTATGAGGGCAGTTATCACTTCCCGGTTGCCAACACCGTGGAAGGGTTCTTATGGAGGTACCTGAAAAGGAAATTGGATTAGAGGTGGTTTTAGTGACCTGAGAGTGTGACCGCAGTTCCCAAGAGACAACTGCTCGAGGTCGGTCACACAAGACGTTTTTGTGAGTAATTTTCGTGTTATTTCCGTACTTGTTGAGACCTTACTGCCGGAGACGGATATCCGTGGGATAAGGCGAGGTGCGCATTTCTAGGGTCGATCTTTTCTAACTCCACCCCTTCTTGTGAGAAGGTAGCATCGCTGTTATTCTGGTTGCATGAAGGAGACACCATACTGCCATCACACCTCCGTACAGTCAGCAGTACGACTTCGCCCTCAGACCTTGAGTTTGCTGCTTTTAGTCTTGTCGTTCTTCAACCGACCTACCTGGTATGCTAGGACATCGAGGGGCGATTGTTCCAGCCAGTATAGCTCGACTGGTTCATCGTGACAGTCAAGCTCGACCACCACGTCAAGGTAGCAGCAACGGTCGAGTCGATAAACAGACATTCTCACCTAATGAATAATATTCGGTGTAGTAGTTCGTATTAATTTTACATAATTTAATACTGTGAACACTTATGCTACTACAGTACAAACAATAAAGGTATTAATAAACTTAAATCCATAGTTCTACTCAAAAAAATTCTACATGCTTTAAGAAATAAGTGCTAAGGAAAAAGAAGTGGAATGTGAAAATGATATAACAGAAACATAAGGAGAAAAGAGTAAAAAGTTAAATTTATTTATAAGGAAAAATGTCCTTGTGAATATTTACTCAGGATGACTAAAGTTAACATAGTCAAGTAGCATTTATAAAAATAGAAGATATATGCACGGTATAAACTACATAATAATTACACTGATGAAACGAATGATGAATTCAAGATTATCGTCTTTGAACAAACTGGAAAAAGACAATCATAATAACGAAATAACCATTCGAGGCAAATAAAAATTGTGCCATAAACACCCATCTAGCTGATGAAGACTGTGAGATAGTTTGAATAAATAGAAACCATGTAAAGCTATGAAAATATCCCTAAGTTAATTTGTACAGAAACATAAGTGTTGGAAACAATTGCGTCTAAATAAACTCAGTTATAGTAGTAAGTAATCATTTCTACTTGATTAAAAAGAACAATGAATTAATTTATGAAGCTATTGATAGTCAATTCACAATATGTATGAGATTTAGAGTTTTAAACTGGGATTTACTATGCAAGTATTCTTCATTTTAGTATCATACACCTTTATTTTCTGTTTCTCCATCCTCCAATTCATTATTGTATTTCCGCCTTGTCGATTTTTACTACACTTATGCCTGAGAAGTTTAGAGGCATCAAGCACAAATTAAAACAACCTTTTTTGCTCCTTGAACTGTATTCTAATGTCTTCTAAGAATGACGACTGTTTGGCATTAAACTAAACTATAAAGTGCTCAAAATTATTTTAACATGTAATCAAATTACCTCGCCATTTGGAGGAATACAAAATACAAACTTTTGGTCCCATTTTATAAATCAAAGCTACGGTTAATAATTTGGTACGTGAAAACAGTAAGTTTTATTGAATGTGCGTTATTATTGGGATTTCTGAGTCAAGACAGAAAAGCAAAGAATATATCAAAATGCAGACTAGCTGAGTTCTGCTAATTGACATTAAAGGATTTTAATGACCTTTATTTGATCAAATTAATCCAGAGACATCGGTTTATACTGTTCAACATTTCCCGTGCATGAAATATCCAGCAAATATGATTACTATTTCAAAAGAAGACAGAAATTTTACAGGTAAATAACTACATCACCTAATTGATGATCTTAAACTCATATCCAACACTTGAATGAATTTTTTGGATTTTGAAGTACCATTTGATAAAACATGACACAATATGAAAAGGAAATCATTGGCTTTAATTCTTTCATTTTTATCTGCAGTTAAGGAAAATGCAGGTTTCCAGAAGATAAACGTGTACCATGCATAATTTGTTGTCATTATGTGGGATAACTTGAAATCTACCTTTCTCATCAAGTTAATTCCGTGTTTAAAATGTGGTTACAGTCTTTGATGGGAATTTGTAACCTTATTTAGTAACCACAAATGTTAAGCTTATAATTTGGTTAGCTATTACAGTCTATTTATCTGAAACTTTATGGCTGATAGAAAGTGTAGTCTCAGTTATTTGTTTTATTTTCATAAAATTTTGATCATAAATTGAATCAACCTTTACCTGTAGCATTAAAAATATGGATCCGCTTACCACAGAATTCCGGTGTTCCTGCCATATCTTGAAAGCTTTCATTTGGATTTAGCACTCTAGCTAGGCCAAAATCAATAATTTTTATCTTTCTGGATTCCAGATCTTCGATCATTATATTCTCAGGCTAAAAATCAAGATTTCATCACTTAGTATATTGGAAGAGATAAAAATAAAAAGCATGAACGATAGTGAAAAATTATGCAAAATTACCTTCAAATCCAAGTGAACAATACCCAAACCATGCATATGTTGGACACCCAAAAGAATTTGCTGGACAAAATTTGAAGCCTCCTCCTCTGATAAACGCTCACAATCGGCTACGCGTGCAAACAGTTCCCCACCAGTTACTCTAATAAGAATTAAAAACCAGCATGAATAAATGTTAATATATTTAGATAGACAGTTATCAATCATAAGCAAATTAAGACCTGGAACAAATATTCATCAGCACAAGTCGTCACATTTAGGAGCCTATTGCTTCGCATCAATTGTCTCCCAAACAGATAAACATATGGACATTTATGATAACACCTGAGTTATTAGAGTAAAACGGTTGGTCTAACTGTAAAGGACAAGGAATCACGTTTTCATTTAACTTCAAACTCGGTAACACGTACTTTGATTTCGGTAGCCGGGTAGTAACAATAACCCATCTACAGTGTGGTTCAAAGTCAAGTAAATAAACTTGTACTTATTGTGGCAGTTATGTTATAAACCAAAAGATGCAGTATGAAAGAAGGGCTCAAATATTGCAGCTCTTAACATTCTTCAATACTTACCAATAATTGCCATCGTTTCATTTCCCACCTTATTTTTTCATCACTAGTGCAATATAAAAAAATTAATTCACATTTCAGAAATAATTATTAACTACTGGATGGATTAAAACAAGTGAAAAAATGATAGACCTTAAATTCACTTGACATTATGTGAAAGTGTATTTTAGTCAGTGATCATGGCAGTATGTCGAAACACAACTTCACAATAACTGGGAACCAATGTATTTCCCTAACTGTTAGCAAACACTAATTATACAGAATAAGCAGAGTTGAACAGAGTTTTAAAACCCTATATTATTAAGTTTTATTTTAATAACTTAGCAGTACTTTAAGTAAAAACGAGAATGTTGTTCAATTCTTAAAAAGGCTCAAACGTTAACTCTATGTACTCGCATTGGAAAAGTATTTAACTGCTGATACATCTGCAACACTAAAGAAAAACGTCAAGATATCAGTTGACTATTGTCTCACTCACAAGTGATTCAGTCAACAATATATTGCATTTAGAAGCCATGAGAGATAGCAGTAACTGACAAGGGAAAATGTAAGAGAGTTTAGGAAAACAGCCGCAACAAATTAAATATGCAATATGCCTAAAGCGTCAGTTCTTTCCATTTACTGGTCGGATATGATTAAAACAGCTTGGCCATGATCGTAAGTGTCAGCAATCGTTGTTCTGTCAGTCTCCAAGAAGAGCCGGAGTAATAAATTTGACTGATTTGTTTATAAATGTGCTATCAGTTGTATCAAAACACTGGCTCCCATTACAATTTACATATGGGAAAGGTAAGTCGAACAGGACTGGGAACATTATGAATCGAATATTGGATTCTTTAATGACTTAACTCAAGCCATGAACATAATCACAATTACTGACACAGTGAACTATTTGCATAATCTTAGAGGACGTTTTGGTGGAACAGTTAAAAAGCCAGTTAATAGACTATCAAAATTCGACCGCTAGATTTGCGTTTAAATCTTGAAAAGAAACACATGCACATACTTATCTTGCAATCAAAACATTATATAGGATTACCTATATCAGGTAAGATAAAGTAAACAATGAATAGTATAACTACAGTTAAAGTTATGAAGTCATATACATGTAAGCACACCACTAACTAACTTAAACACTAAAAGGTCAGTTACGGCAGTCAGCACAGAGCCCATCTCGAGCTACATCCAGTACAGGTAAGTCCCACTCACTGCCTTCTCGTGGCTGGGGTGTTGTTTACGAAATTCAGAGGACGAAAAGCGAACATCAGGCACTTTAACCGGGTTGTTGGACACGGAGAGTCCACCTATGGGAGTTAAAAAACCCTAATTCCAAACCAGTGGTGTACATGGGCTCCAGTATCCTGAAGGAACAAATGGTATATGAACCAATCGTTGGTCACCGGCTACCATGGGACTGCATCTCCTTACTTTGCTCCACTGCCTTGTGGATCAGACCTTCAGGTCGAAGACTCCCGTTGTGGCCCTCTAAGAAAACCACCTGCTGCGGTTTGGGCACCCAGGCAGTACCACAGCTCTCACGAATATCAAATAAGATCCGTGTGGCGCATATGTATTTGGTGCCTCCTTGTATCAATATATATGTGTTAAAATAAATGAATAAATACTCCCAGTCCCAAGCTCAGGTAAAGGAGGGTTGGGAGCGGTGGTTACAACCCCAGAGGAGACCAGTATTTGTTGATAAAGCTTCAGAACTACATAACGCTTAAAACAGGTGTCTGATTGCATAAGAAATGAATGTTTTATTCAATTATTTAGGTAAAGTATGGTCAGGATCACTTTGTGAGCGAAGAAACATAGGCCATTTTGATCTAATGCGATTCAGAACATTTCGCAAAATATACTAGTCTGGTTTTTGTGGACACATCATCCCCACAACGGGTTTTCACTAAATAATTAGGCCAGACAGTATGTGGTGATAAACAGATGACTAATCATTTCTTGACCTATAAATACACATTAAACACATCAGAGAAGTACAGACAATCAATAAGACGTAATAAGCGTCGAAAGGTTTGCTCCAAAATTCACAGGTGATGCAAAAGAATTCAGTTTGAGAAGTAAGCTGGCGCAATAAGCAAAAACCATGGAAATTTTTAATAACAAACCCTAATAACTACTTCACACCACATATAAGGTACATTTTGCAGATAAGTGGAATAGTACGTAGTAAGAAAATATCTACCGGAAACAGCCCTAAACTGACAACAAATACTGTCCGCATCATCAGCGCTAAATTTAAATGATTTTTATTCGTACATACAAACATACAGATTAGTTTATACGAAGATAACTCAAAATGCCAATCCATAAAATACACATCATGATGAATTCATACTGGATCACAAACTACTTACAAGTCCAAAATGAGTACGACGGAATCCTCCCGATAGAAAACTTCATGCAAATTGACAATATTTTCATGCTGTAAATTTGCTAAAATGAAAGCCTCACGGTCTATATCAGAAACGCTTGATCCATGAAGCCCTGTGTTAATCCGTTGCTTCATTATAAACTTGGCCGCATATTTTTTGTTCGAACTTTTACATACACAAAGATTGACGTCAGCGAAGTGTCCACTGATAATTCCTTATGAAGGATATAATTTGAACTTACTCTCCAATTTTCTGTTGTATATCGTACAAGTCCTCTAGGCGACCGTGATTAACATGAGGCTCCTAAAACATGACATTTCTTCGAAGAATATTCTACCTGACTTAGCAGAGGCATAATAATCAAACCATCGGATCAACGTTAAGACCAAACCTCGCGCACAGACGCTGAATTTTCTGTTACCAGCCTTTTTGACGGGTTGAAACAACAACTTGTCTTACATGGGATGACTAAAAATCGAATCAGAGTTCCATGGAGTTTTTATTGAATAAAAATGAAGTCTTCTGGACACTACAGAGGCTTTTACTTCCATAACCCACAATCGACAATGAATACAATGTACATCTGGACGAAGCTTTTAATAACTGACCAGTATATTCTATGTATATTAACTATTGAGCATGTCCAGTAGATTTGCGTTTAAGGCCATACTACCCGAGATACAAGTTCGCAGTCTGTTGCTTAGTAGACAGGCTAGATTTCCATCCATCTCTGAAATATTAAACACTATAAAAGATTCATTTAATAGATGAAATTCAACTCTAAATTCTCGACACAAAAATTTGTGTTCGCTGCTGGAATGTGTCAGGATCGATGGTGTACGGATAGAAAACAGTTGAAATTTGGAATAAATTTAAATGCACCTACTATCTAATTGTGAAGGAAAAAGAAAAATTCAATTTTTTAGAGAACGTCCGCAGATTTTCAATGATATTAAGATTCTTCCAAATAAAACACCATGCCAACGAAAAGCAGAAAGAGCTGTCTAAAGACCACCAGAGTCAAACTCTCAAATGCATCATAATCCTAATGGTCGTAAAATTAAGTCTCACTTTAGGGGACATGTACCTTTACAAATATGCCACCACAGATAAGATCTCCTGAATCTCCTAAAGTTCAGAACCCAGTAGAAAGCGATCCAGATGTAGGTGGTGTCGATACTCCTAAGATTGTTTATTTAGATCTAACTCTAAATAGTTGTGCTGCTGACGAATGAAATAACACAGTCCAAATCCCTATTAGTGCAACACACAGCTACAGTAACTTTGCAACAGATAACGAGAAGACTAGTCATAACATCTATACAACTGACCACACGCTTAACGTCAATATATTCGAACCCTGCAAAACATTGCTAAGCCGAGTCACCACCTCGCGCGCCTGCAATCTCTTGCAGGACCAACGGCAGCCAACTCTGAAATTGTTAAGGAACTATGGCTCCAATCGTTACCAGAACACACCCAACCAACGATCACGGCCCTGTTCGAGGATGCACCACTCAACCAGGTGGCACTCAAAGCAAACAAAATATTGGCAAGGACTGGCAACCGAGACAACTACATAGTTGCCTCAACGTCACGTTCGAGCGTGAAGAGGGACGCTAGTCACTTCTCGGCGCAAAGTGATAGGGATAGTTGTATTCATATACGTCTTAGCCTTCGAGACCGTTGCAATATATGCAAACCATACACCTCTCGAGTCAGATCACGGTCTCGGAAAGCCGCAACCACTCGCCCAACGAGGGCATCTTCCAAGCCACGCCAAAAAGCGGCTTCGGAAGCGAGTGGGGGTTGGTGCCGGTTTCACCGCTCCTTCGGGTCCGGTGCCCGCTGTTGTCGAGCCCCGTGCCCATACAAGGCGGGAAATTCTCAAGCCGACGAGTAAAAGCCGCCGTACTCGCCAATCCTTCACCCCAGGGTGGTCGTTTATTTTATGCGCACAATTATCGCACGAACGCTAAGTACCTAGTAGATACTGGTGCTCAAGTTTCTGTCGTACCTCTTGGTAACAGTAAGTTACAAGCCACGACGCCTCGACTACACGCTGCGAATGGCTCAGCCATTCCTACCTATGGTCCACGACAACTCACGGTCATCCTGGGTAACCGACAACAGTATCTGTGGACGTTCATCATTGCCAATGTTCCCACAGCCATACTTGATATCGATTTCCTACAGCATTACAGATTGCTAGTTGATTCACGTAGGCTGCAGCTAATCGACAGTTCGTCAAACAGCAAATTCATTGGCTTCAAAGCTCACACAAACGCGTATCGAATTTTAGGCACCTTTTATTCGCGTGACGATATATTCCACGCTTTATTCGAGAAATTCCCCAAAACAACCAAACCACTCGAGGAGATTCCATCGGTGACCAATAGTGTAGTACACCACATAGTCACCCGCGAACCCTCAATCACGGCAAAACAACGCCGCCTGGCACCGGACAAGTTAGCTTTCGCTAAACGTGAGTTTGACGATTCAATAGCTACTGGTATTATTCGTCCTTCTCACAGTCCCTAAGCCTCATCTCTTCACATGGTGCGGAAAAGGAATGGGGTTAGTTGTAGACCATGCGGCGACTACCGAGCATTAAACGTGGTTACATGCTCTGATGGCTATCCCATCCTCCACATACATGACATCGCGGCATCACTCAAGTGCACGACTACCTTTTCTAAGATCGATTTGGTACGAGCATATCATCAGATCCCAGTCGCTCTTGAAGATATCGAGAAAACCGCTATCACGACTCCTTTTGGTCTGTTTGAATTCCTACTAATGTCATTTAGATTACGGAATGCTGTTCAAACTTTCCGAAGGTTTATCGATAGCATATTACGAGACTTGGATTTTGTTCACGTCTATATTGATGACCTGCTCATCGCATCATCAAACGTAGATGAACATTATCAGCATCTTACACACTTATTCCAATGTCTTTCGGATAATGGAATAGTAGTCAAGCAGAACAAGTGCGAATTGGGCAAACCAGAAATAATGTTCTTGGGTCACATCATTAAGCAAGAGAGTATTTTACCATGCGAGGACAAAGTATGTGCAATAAGAGAGTACAACGTACGGTCCTCACTCATGGAACTGAAAGCATTTCTCGGTTTGGTTAACCTCTACAGTCGTTTCATCCCACACGCGGCACGAACGGTTACGACCATTAACCGATTTACTCCTCGATAATCCACGCAAATTGGAATTAAACGATGCAGCACGTACTGCATTTTCAGAGATCAAGACGACCCTGACTCAAGTATAGTGGCTGATGCATCGGATTTTGCCATAGGAGCCGTTATGCAACAGAACATCTTCGGTAGTTGGCAACCTCTCGAATTTTTCTCACGACCCCTTACTCCCACGGAGACGAGATATAGTGCTTTTGGTCGAGAGCTGCTAGCAGCCTACTGTACCACCAAACATTTCCGGCATGCAGTAGAAGGTCGCCATTTCATCTTATTCGCCGACCTCAAGCCTTTAACGTATGCTCTGCATACCAGGTCTGACCGCTACTCACCACGAGAGTGCAGATATTTGGACTATGTTTCCCAGTTCACGACAGACCTTCGTCACATTAAAGGCGAGTCGAACTATGTTGCTGATGGTCTGCCACGTATCCAAGTGAATGCAGTTACTTCGCCGGTGCTCGATCTTCCTACTATGGCTGCTACTCAAGCAAACGACCCCTTTTGTACAGAAGGAACACAATCTACATCCCTTCAGTGCCAGGAAGTACCCCTAGCTACTAGCTCAGGTACTATCCTATGTGATACTTCTACCGGTCTTTCCCGACCTATCGTACACTCTGTTTACCGTCGTCTCGTTTTCAATGCCCTACATGGACTGTCTCATACAGGTGTCGCAGCTACATTACCCCAGTTGCCCAATGTTTCGTTAGCTTTAATTTAATCTTGGCCACAAACAGGTGGTGATCCGAAGCTATATCAGTTCATCTCTTTGTTCTAACACCACCAAGTTGTAACTCGTCATTTTCGCAGTAATTTTACTGATCTCACCGGTCTCCCACATTGCCCAAACATCCCATGTATCTTTGTTGATTGTTACTATAGTTATTAGAAAGGACATCAGGTTCGTGGCTTCCTAGGAATCTCGTCCTTCACTACGAGGCGTCATAACTCTTCTAAATGAAGATCCTTCAACTTCCAGGACAGAGTCTGAATTTTTTGAATGATTTTATCTAGTTGGCGTTTTGTTGGCAAAGTTGTTTTCAGCGGGGTGGGGTTACCGAACTCATGTTCAACTCTGTTCATTAACCCTGGCCTAGTACCGGCTATAACCGTGGATTGGCTACAGGTGGAGTTAAACTTTTATATACGACACTTCAATATGGGTCATGTCACCACAATACCACTAGATAATATCTCTAAGTGGATCTGATAAAAATCCCACAAACATAATGTCAGTCAAATTTTGCATTCGCTCATTGCTCTTGAAGAGTATTGCTGGGGTTTGTGCCTTAGTATAAAACATAGATGTAAAGAAAGACAGTATCACCAAGACAAGGACATTTTTAGGTGTATATTTGTACAGCTAGATGAATTGCGAGACATTTAATACTAAAAGTTCCTACTACAGTTAGCTCTAGCAGGCAAATTAGAAGTGACAGACAAATAAATGCTTGAAGACAGCAAACAAGTAAATCTACTCAACATACATGTTCATTGCCTGGTCACTAAAGCTGCGTAGACATTCACTTGCACTTTGAGTAAAGTAATGTAAAATGGACAAAGTCGTAGTTAGTAGATTTTTGAGTGGAAGATAAATGTTTGTAAAAAGAACCTTAGTCAGACAGAGAATGACCGAAAGTTACTATTTAGGACAATTTTCTCAATTATATATACATTGTCCTTCCATTGTTTTAATTTTGCTTTAAAGCAAGCATTATGGTTCTTGGCTCTGGAGTTTATCGTATTGGCTCTAGTGTTGAGTTCGACTGGTGTGCTGTCGGCTGTGTCAAAGAACTTCGACGCCTGGGATGGAAAACAGTTATCATCAACTGTAATCCCGAAACTGTATCAACTGACTTTGACATGTGTGACCGACTCTATTTTGATGAACTATCTCTTGAACGTGTTCTAGATATATATGAGTAAGTCTCATATAATCCAATCATTTTAAGTAACTTGAAGTTTTATTTCACAGAAATTGTACGTTTCTGAAAAAAGAGGTTTTCCAAGCAGTCCAGTTATTACTTATGTGATTCGAATAAAACTCTGTACCTTAATTAAAAATTACCTTGCTAGTTCGTTGCTATTTCACTAATTAAACAAATAAACGTCCTAACGACTTGTTAGTTTGTTTAGTAAGGTATTGTTGACAAAAAACAGTTACCATGTAGTATTGTGAGATCTGTATTCTTGGTGGCACTTTTAGTTCTCTAATG